AGTTTTTTATTGCCTGACACAAGTGGGATTTAGCCCAGGAGCCGCAGGAAAGCCGCTCCCAAACCCTCAGAGTGGCGGGACAGGGGGCAGGGATGACCTCATCCCAAGCCAAGGTTTTATTTGATAATCTATCAGTTATTTATTATTCCAAGTAACCACTTGCAGGTGCTGTGATTCCAGAGGAGTTGTCCCAGCAGCCGGCACGCTYCGGGAAAAGCTCGGCCGTGCGCAATCCTACCCGGAGCTGCTACTGCGGAGAGAGCGAGGGGGATCCAGCCTGGGCTGGGAAACGGGGAAAAATGTGGGAAAATGAGGGGATGGCCATGGAAAAATCCGTGGAAAAATGGGTAAAGGGTTTGTCCTGACCACCAGYTAACTGAGGAATCCTGGAATGGTTTGGGTGGAAAGGGATCTTAAAGCTCATCCAGTCCAACCCCAACTCTCTCCACTGTCCCAAGGGCCTCTGTCCAGCCTGGCCTTGGACATTCCAGGGATCCAGGGGCAGCCACAGCTTCTCTGGGAATCTGTGCCAGGACCTCGCATTCCCCCAGGGAGGAATTCCTTCCCAACATCCCTTTCATCCCTGGTGGGGAGGCAGAGGAGGATGGAATCCTGATCCCATTGGGATGGACGCGCACAGTGTCCAGTTGGGATGTGGCTCCCGCAGGGACAATTCCAGAGCTCAGCCTCTCCCTGCTCGCCTTCTTGCCTGGAAAATGGGAACTAATTGAGGATTTGGGGCAGTGACAAGGAACCAGGACATGGATGTCCCACACACCAGGCTGGCATTGCCCACGTCCCTCCAGGGCCAGCGCCGGGATCACAGATGGCACCTGGAAGGCTCAGATGGGCACATTCCATGTAAAATCCCATGCAAATCCACAACACGGATTTGGGGGTGTGTTCTGGGTGTCTCTCCATTGTTTTTTCCCTCCACAGCCCTGGGAAGAGGTGTCAGGAACACCCCAGGGAGGTACCAGGGAAGCCCAGAGTCACCCCACTGTCCCCAAGCACAGAATGTGGGATTCTCCAGGATGGAGCTGAGAGGAGGTGACAGAAATGAGCCCCTGAAGTGCCAGCACAGTGAGGGGMTTTTAACATCAATCAATCCTGCATTGGAGTCCCACACTCTGGAGCCAGAATTGCCCCCAGGATTTGAGCCACTGGAGCCTTTTCCCCGTGAGGAAGGGGTTGAGGATGAGGAGCTGGGCCCCAGGCAGCGTCCCTGGAGAACAGAAGGTGCCTTCCCAAATTATCTGCCCCTCCTTGTCTGCCCAAGCTCCTTCAACCGAGCCAACACAAAGCAGAAAATGGGATTTTGAGTGGCAAGACCCCGTTGTGGCTTCAATTTTAACCCCAACTCAGGGGGGGAAAAAAAACCCAGACAGTTGGGAGAATCATTTTTTCATTAAAATCAAAATCGATCCATAATGAAAATAGACTTGGAATGGGAAAAGCTGAGTGCAAATGGAAGCTTTTAAAGATTCTTTTGACTGACAATAACCTGAAGACCCTCCAGGAACTCCAGCCTGGAATAATCAGATTAAATGGAAACTAATATACGATCCTGAAATTCATCCCATGCTGCTCTAAACTTGGAGCAGCTGGATAATTTCGCCTACAGGTTTGTGCCTCCTGCCCAGCAGTTCACACGGAATTGTTTGGCCAAACTTAATCAACCAGGAGAGGAAAAAAAAAAAAAAGCTTTTTCCTTTCATAGATGTTAAAGTAAAGCCAGCTTTTCCAAGCAGCTGGGAGCAGGGAATGGATACGGCTGCAGGTATTTCCTATGTGAATTCCCAGACTGGAGTTTGGCTAAACTCCATTAAAATATKAAATAATATCGATATTAAAATCAATAGTTCTGATTTATGAATGATCCAGGAATAAGGAAAGCTCTGGGGTGGTGCAGTGTAGTTGGTGGTGGGGACAATTCCTGGTGATTGCTGAGTGGACACAAACTCATGTCCAGCAGCTCCTCACCACTGCCCCCACCACAGGGGCCACATTCCCAAAACATTAACCAAATCCAGGTTTTTAGCCAGAGGAATGTCTGAAAATGGAACCTGTGTGGATCCAGCGAGGCCCTGGCACAGGCTGCCCAGAGAAGCTGTGGCTGCCCCTGGATCCCTGGAARTGTCCAAGGCCAGGCTGGACAGGGCTTGGACACCYTGGGATGGTGGAAGGTGYYCCTGGCCATGGCAGGARTGGRATGGGATGAGCTTTAAGGTCCTTTCCAGCCCCTCTGGGATCAGCTGGATGGCCCCATCCAGCCCCCCRCCCCACCACATCCTCAACATTGGCATCCTCCCATCCTTCCAGCCTGCTCCTGGCAGGATTCCTTTTTCCCAGGGGGAAGAACAGCTGGGATGAGCTGGATCCAACCTGACCACAGCTGGTGGCCAATGGGCAGAAACACAAACCCAGCTGGGCTCGCCAAGGGACCTCGTGCTTCCAAAGGGTTGGAATCTTAGAAAAAAAAGGGGGAAATGTCATGTACACCTTGGTTATATCAAGTATAAATGCTTGGGATACCCCAAGGATCAATAACTTCTATGTAGGAAAATAAAATAAAATGGATTATTCTTGATGCAGGAATCTTCCCTGAGAAGCCTCTGGGACTGGGATGAGCAGGGAAAACACAGCCCAGAGCAGAGCATCATCCCTGGGGCTTCATCCCATTGTGCTTTTCACCGAGGAACCCAAACCCTGTGATCTGGAGAAGGTGGTGGCACCTCCTGGATGGCTCCTGCTGGTGTCCCCACATCCTGTCCCCTCTTCAGAGCCATCAGAGCTGGCAGGAGCAGCTCCTGCAGTTCCCTTCCCGTGGATTCCCGGCGCTGACTCGGGAATGCCGCAGAGTTTTCCTGCCAGCGCCGAGCTCYGGGATAAAAACCCTCTCCACAAAAACCCCTCCCTGTGAACAGATAACACAATGCGGTTCCTATTTCCTCCCCACCTTGAAATAATCGTTCCTTTTCATTTTGAAACCGTTGTCCCAGGGAAATGTTTCCAATGGGAACCCCTGTCTGCCCCTTTGGATGGGCAGGAAYGCCCAGGCACTGCTCCGGGGAGCTTGGATTGAAAAAAAAAAGGGAGGGAGAAAAGAGGCCTAAAAAGCAGCAAACAGGGATGGGAATGCTGGTCTGGGATCCATTATCTCTGACCCAGAGGTTGAAAAGCAAAAGAAATTCATTAAATTGGGCAGGGGGAGGCCAGCGCTGCTGGGGCTGCCGGTGTCCGGTCCGTGGGGGGTGCCCGGGGGTGTCACCTGTCCCCTGTCACCCATCRCCCATCCAGGGRCACCCTCCCCCCGTGCTGTTTCTGAGGATCCCTGGAGCYATYGGGGCTGCCCAGTTTGCTCCMAGCAGAGCAGAGGGATGGCTGGGATGGGGGCAGGCAGCACAGCGCGGGGCAGAGCTGCTCCCCAAAACCCCATAAATCCCCTGGATCTGCAYGGAACATCCCAAGGCTGGCACAGGGAGTGGTGCCACCATGGAAAGTGGGATCCTAAAAGGCTTTTCCCACGGCCAAGAGCAGGGCTGTCCCTTGTGGGGCACTGGTGGGGACAGGGACATCTGGGCAGGGGCCACATTTCCATTGGGAAGGTAAGAATCTCCCCAATCCCAACCAGCCAGGGAGCACAGGGATGGCAGCTGCTGCCCCTGCCCAAGCTCCTGTGGGAGGTGGGAGCCATGGGACAGGGTCCAGCTGTGCCCAAACAAATCAAGGAAAGGCTTCAAACTATGTATGATCCCAAATTCACAGGGTGGGAGATGCTCYGAGGGAAGCTGTGCCCTCATCTCCCGTTCCCATGGACACCCCATGGGATCCTGGAGGGCACAGCCCGACCTCCATCCTCCCCAGCCCCTCAGAGGGGTGGCCAAGCCGTGGATAACGGGAATGGGATGTGGGATGGAGGTGCTCACCCTCTCTGCTTAATGGGAACAAAATGTTCTCCCATTGCTCGCGGGGCAGTGCTGCCTTCCAGCCACGGCAAACATTTGGGACAACACAATGGAGCCCCAACTGCTCCTGACGGTTTGGAGAGCCCTGGACATCGCTCTGAGCGCTCAGACTGCTCATCCTGGGCTGGAAAAACACGGAAACATTGAGGGTTTTCCCCGTTCCTGGCCAGGTCCTGCAGGAGCACGGCAGCKCTGGCTGAGGGGCTCCACAGATCCAAGATTCCTCAGCTCATCCCTGGCAAAGTCAGGGGTTTTGGGATCCCACAGAGCCTTACTGCTGGTCCTGCAGGAGCTCAGACACTCCCAGATCCCTTTGGAGCCCCCCAGGACCCCACAGGACCTCGGACCCTCCCAGATCCCTTTGGAACCCCCCAGGACACCACAGGATCTCAGACCCCCCAGCTCTCAGTGTCCAAGACACCTGAGGGTCCTCCTGCTCCCTGCAGCCATCCTGAGCTGGATCCACTGGAGAAGGAGGAGCTCRGAAGGAAAATCCATGAAAACCAAGGAGCCCCATGCAAAGGTGCCCTTGACCCCCCCGGAGCAGGGGAGGGAGGATTCTCCTCTCCCAGCCCTGGATCACTGGGATGGGGATCAGACACTCGGACACAGCACCAGATTCTCCCTAAAACACAAATAAATCTCACAACACCCAGGACTCACCTATTTCCCACCTGCCACCCCATTCCCGTGGGAGCTGCCACGTTGTCCCTGGTGAGCCACATCAGGCACTGGCACCAACTCAGGGATCCTTTTTTTCCCTTTTTAGCACTTCCAAGAAAAATAAAAACCCAAAATAAAAGTGAARCTCCTGCTGGTTATTCAAGAACTGTTTGCTTTAATCCCTTTCCAGGAACACGCTCTCAGCGCTGCCCATTTGGTACGTGTGGTCAAAAAGGTGGGAAAAAAAACATGGAAAAGGGCATTCCAGTGCTTTCCTCCACAGCCCACACAGCCCCAGAGCCACCTCCTGGTTTGTTTCCCTTGTTTTTATTTCAAAACCACATTCAGCTGCTTTTGGCAAGACCACCACCACCACCCCAAAAACCAACCATGGTTATTCGCTTGACTTTTACCCAACTCCAGAGGTGACAATTCCCAAACGGAGCAGTCTGGCTGGAGAAATCAATCACCAAGATGAGAAAAAGCAGCTCACRGAGCAAGTGGGTAAATTGGAATGTTCTGGAAAAACTGCGTGGACAAAGTGTGGATATAAAAGAGAGAGGCAGGAGATGTTGGGAAGGGAGCCGCCCGTTCTCCCTGTTCCCAGCTGGTCCCTCTCGGCCTGGCCACGGTGTTCCCTCAGTCCCGCACGGGGTACGGCCACCTCCTGTCCTCAAAGAACTTCCTGAGGCCCGCCAGGTTGACAGGGGGGAAGTAGGGGCCGATCCTCCTGCGGATCCACCACTTGCCATCGCTGGCGTGCTTCCCGCCGGGCTGGCTGAACTTGTACCTGAAGTGTTCCCCTCGGATCCACCTGTGGACACAAAGCACCAGGGCTCAGGGCGTGGAAGGATTGCTGGGAAAGGCTCAGACTGGATTTTTATTCCCTTGGGCTGGAGTTTTTGAGCTTTTC